TGAATGCACTAACCAATCATATTGAATATTAGCATCGTGTTGTTCACGTGCGGTTGTTATTGCAACGTTAATCTCTGAACCCTATAATCATTTCGATATTTATTATAATTAGTAAATGAAATAATGGAATATGTTATGTTTCAAGTCCATGATATCAAAATTGTATGATTTGCTTCTAGAAATGGATTGGACATAATGCTGGTAATAATAGACTATAGTAATGTGTAGACAAGCCACCGAATGGCGGTGTTTGCGGTCTATTTATTACTATACATCAATGCGAGAAATCGATCGTATAAATGAAATACAAGGCAACCCTGATTTGAAATATAGCATGTAACATATATCACAGCTTATGCTACATGCATATCAGCATATGCATATGCTGTATGCATGTAGCAGAGCCTGCAGAGGCTGTGATATAACACATTATACAGTCGCTTTAAAATGAATATGCCGTCTAATTTCCTCCAATAGTATTTATTTGAAATGTCCATAAACAGTATCGCGTAGAATCTCAGATTCAGTTGTCATAATTCACAGCCGAATGGTGTTTATATTATACAATTGAAATTAACACTGCCTTGCTCCATTCTATTTTTCTGTTTAATAAATATACTGTTTACTCTTGGCACTTAACTCAACGACAAACTCGTATTAATGCATCGGTAAATACATACAAAAATACTCAACTTACACGGAATGTTTTTTAAATATAGCATTAAAATTTGAAAACGTCTCGCTCCTTCGTAGCTCTGTACAATGAATATATCGTCAAAATAATATCGCTATCAAATTGAATGCCCGTGATGCATAGAACAATTTTTAATATTCCGTAGATTATCGAAGATTTACTCAAAATGCACCTGTGAAATGTTAGGAAACAACACTTTCTCGCTCCTTCGTAATATATCAACTGCGTGAATCATCTATGACTTTACTAGAACACAATACGCATTTTTTGCATTTCGAAAGAACGCATCGGGTGTTCCGGGGGGTAATTTAAGTTATTTTCCTTTACGCAATACCGACAATACGAGAAACGAATGTTATAAAACTTACAATAACAACAAAGATTCCTCAAGATTATTGTGAGCCTTATTAAGATTACATAAATAAAACAACTGAAATTAATTAAATAACCTGAAAAGCACTGAATAAGTACAATAGAGCATAACAAACATATATCACAACACCCCCCGTAAAGTTTACACTATGACTGACTGACTGACTGACTGACTGTCTGACTGACTTACTGACTCGTTTGAATTTTCGCCACTCATCACAATACTGCAAAGTTTCTCAAACTTTGGACTAAAAATTCAAACAGCCTTGTCGTATTTTGCATCTACTTTGAAAATACACTGACTGTACCTTCGACGTTTGTTATCGGAATGGGATTGAACAAGTTAAGATCTTTTATGGTCCTGAATATTCAAGATGCAAAAATATTACAAAACATTACAAAAACGAAAAGTTACACCCGTAAAAGTGACATGTTTGACTTGTCAAACATGCTAATTATAACTTTTTAAAACCTTGTATTGATGGTGCGCTTAACGGAAGCTTGCAAATGGTTGTATTGACAAAGAAATTATGATGCAACTTATCAACTTCATTGTTGTTTTCACTGATGTTATCCTCAAGGAGTTCTTTCTAATAATTTGGAAACCAAAGATTGATAATAATCTTCATTATTTTGCAAAATTTCATAGTACAGATTTTTGGTTTTACTAGCAAATAAATAAAAGGTTGCTCAGTACTTACTTCATTCGAATCTTTATATAAAAACAAAAGAGGATCTCATTCATATGCAGGAGATGTCCTTAAATTTGCCAAGGAAATTCAATTAAAAGTTTCACCTTCAATGTCATTTGCTGATGTTTCATCACTGTCTCTCAGTTTATCTTGAACATCAACCTCAGAATCGGCAAGGACAAGTTCCAAAGCTTTGTCTCTGTCATATCGCTTTCCAGCCATATTCGGTCTTTCAAGTTAAGCATCCATATTCTTTAGTAATAAGTCTGTTGCCTTATCTTTCTTCTTTCTGGTGGGACTAGTACTGGTTTTAATTGTAACAAATAGAGAATCCCATGATGTATTACCCCCTGTGTATAAGAGATCAAACCATTTACCAAAGCCCTTCTCATCTTGCACACATGTTATTCCGGTAGCAATGCGTACTGTCATACATATTTTCTTACAGGTTGATACACGCTATTTAAGTTTCGTTCTCATCGGCGCAACATTGAAAGGAAATGTTGTAGGTGGGTCATGCCGGGAATACTTTGTACTGAGTTCCTCCAAAATGCTATTATAAACTTCACTATATTTCCACTTTTTGACGTTGCAAAGCACAAGTTTATTCTTGTACTTCTCATTGTTTACTATAATATCAATTGTGTCATCGACATGTGATTCTTTTCAACAGCCTTTCCTGCCCTTCTAATTTTTTCCCTTCTTTGTTGCTTTCAGATTAGGTTCTTCAAGATCCAGATCTGATTCCCCAGAAGTGCGGTCCTTAATTTGTCATGACATGGTTGCAAATAGAGATGTATGAATTGAGCATTTTCAAAGAGTACTGAAAGCTCTGGTTGATGCTAATAAGTTAAGGCAAATGTGATGATATCAAATGTCATTCCCCCCTTTTTTTTTGGATGAAGAGGTCCTGAACTATTTGTCATGTTTGAAGGCCTTTGACCACAAGAAGGACAGTCATATTGAGAAACTGTTTCATGGAATGATGACGTCAAAGAAGAGTTAGGAAGGTATTTGGTCTGTGATTAAAATCTTCTCATTCTTTCCCATGCACATGCTACACTTGAACAAGGATTTTCTACAAACAAACAAATGTCAAGAGAAAACTTGGAAGAGCATTTGTTTATTGCTCTTAGGCAAGTTTATGATCATGTAAAGTCTGTATCTGGTGCAACCAACGTGGAAATAACAAAGATGATAACATCATTTGCTACAGCAAGGCAACCTTACATGGCTTACTTAGATGAAGAAAAGAAAAAGAAAGAAAAACAAGCTGTGTCCCTGAGAAGGAAGTCTTTGTTAGATGAGATTGAAGATCTTAAAAAACAAAAAAAGAAAAGATTAGAAAGTGATTGAAGCTGCTGCATTGAACAAGTCTGCTGATGTGTTTTTAAGACATTTTGGTTGCCAAATCTAATAGCCACAGGAAGACATCAAAAGAGAAGTTACAGGAAGCAGCAGACATTGACAAGGAAATTAATATTGAATTACAGTATTTGAAAGAAAACTAGCTAAGTTTGTATATTTTTGTTGAGTTCTCGGGTTGAAGACTGAAAGTGAAAACAGTACAACAGTTGTTACTTGTAAGAACCTAAGTAAGTTCTGCATTTGCACCAGTTTGAAATCTCTTATATTTTTAATCCACTCCAACCTCCTCCCTCTATCCAGGAAATTCAGGTCATGGATTTTTAGGAAATGGTCATGAAAAGTCATGGAAAAGTCATGGAATTTTACTCCGGGAAATATGTACAAACCCAGGAAATAAGTGAAGTACATGATACTGGTGTTGTTGACAATCTTCACGCAGTAGAAATCTGCGAGGAAGAGGAAAATACTACAACAAAGCCAGGAGTCTAAGCTCCCAGGGGCAGAATACAATCTTTTTATGATTTTGATAAAATAAAAAGGAGATTGGAACTGGAAGAGGCTGGCGAAGAATCTGATGAGGATATTGAGGAAGAGCCTGACATTGTTCGGGGTGAGTTTCAGCAGCAAGTGGGTCCAGCAACAGTGCTTCCAAATAAAGCATCAGGCCTAGCATTTTTTCTGCTGTTGTTTGGCATGAACATTGTCAACCAAATTGTTTGTGAAACAAGTAAGTTTGCCAATGTTTATTTTATATTTTGACATAGGTAATTGGAACCATATTGTAGTTCTTATATAGTTATAAGTTAATTTGTAACAATTGTCTGAATTAGACAAACTAGAGAAAAAAAGGACGTTATGTGTATGTGGGCTAAAGGGGAACATAATGAGTAATTTGTTGAATGGTTAATTGCGAATTGAGGGGCGTAGAAATAGAAATAAAAATAACCAGATGGGGTAGTTTGGAATTTGTTGGACAACCGCCAACCATGTGGTGTGTTTGAAATAAAATTTTTTTTTTAAAAAAGGGGGTTTTGTTTGTTTATGATGGAGTTCTTCAAGAAACTATGTAGTTGCGTTTGTAGTAATAGGTTGTGTAGCGTTATTGGTGGTGTTTAAGTCAAGGTTATGTAAGGAGGTAGGTAGAAAAGTAAAACAGAAGACAAGAAGGCAAGCGTGCGAATCAGTATCCCCGTACGCGGCGTTTCATCCTTTTGCGGACTCGTCAGCGGGGAGCAGGGTTGGCTTTGTGTGAAGGAACAATGAAGATAAGAAGTGAGTAAAAGTGGTGTGTGTTTGTAGGAGAATCATAAAGAATCAAGGTTAAAGTTATCAAACCTGCGTGAGAGTGTATTCGTAAAAGGCAAAATGGTAAAATTAAACTGTGTGTCTTACCAAAGTTGTTGTTGACTTTAGATAAACCAACGCGGTGAGCCATCTCAGGGTTGATGTGAAATCGAGTGTAATTTTACTTAAAAATTGTTTTGAATTGCTTGACAGCAGAGCTAGTGTTCGAGCTTGTATCCGTTCAAGAGACTTGATCGAAAAGGGGTCAAGGATTGCACGTGTGTGCATAAAATGCGTTAATATGTTACGTCACTGAGGTCAGGTGTCAAAGTCTGTGTTGGGGATAGTGGGGGTTTACGTGTCAATTATGGTTGTGTGTGGACATCCGAGGTTTAAATGTGTTTTGGTTGTAAGTTGTACTTCATGTAGTATGGTTGGTTATAATTGTTGAAGTTCCGTTTTATCACCGTAGTCATGAAATAAAAAATTGGGTTGAAATGTTTTGGATTTTTGGCGAGGAATTACAGAATTACAGTGCAATATCGTCATCTGTGGGTAGTAAACTACCCCGGGTCTAAAAACTTCCGTGGGTCGATGTTCGGCGATGCATCAACCGTGAGGGTTTCAATCGTGAATATAATAGGGTTATCAATTTGAGGTAGTCAAGGTTTTTAAGGTTTGTATTTTGAAGTTTTATGATAAGCTTGTAAAACGTGCATATAATTGTGAGTGTAAGGTTGTAGGTATATAGGTATCATTATTTAGTAGGTGTTTAAATTATCATCGGTAATTAGAAGTCAACGTGGACGTTGTCATGCGTTTGAATTACTATAACTATATATATATATACAGCATATGGATAGCGGATTGTACATTATATTACATAAGGATTGTTCAACGTGACTACATTATCCATGACCATGTTCATGTGGTTTGATTTGAAGTGTATTTAATCCGTGTGGTTGAACATTTAGGTTTTGTTCGGGCATCTGGTCATATTTATGGCTTAATTCTGCTATAAGGACAAGTATTTTTTTAAAAAAATAATTCTATACTTATGTCCGCAGGATGCCCAGGATGCCAGATTTGATGTGACTGGTTAAGTCATGTAGTTTTGTTGTTTTCACAGGAGAGTGCCACAGGGTTTGCTTGTCATGTGTTAATTGGTTCTTGCATGTTCTCACTTGTAACCCAGTGTGTCCCAGAAGTTCTTTGGTTTGTTATATCCACTCTGGTGTTTTCAAGGTGGTATTCAGACTCAATGTCAATTGGGAGTGGTCAAAATTTTTTTGTATCTGTGTTTAGGATGGTGTGGAGGTTTTTGGCTGGTTTTGGTTAGGTTTGGGGTTGATGGAAGGCCTGGGGGATTTGGGTTATGGGATGTTATTATGTTTGGTTAGCGTTGTGTCTGGTATTAAGTTTTGCTGTGATAAGTGTGTCTCTCAGGTTAGTATTACGTTGGTAGGCTACAATTGGAGGTTCTTGCCATAGACTCCTCAGTGTGGGGTCATTCTCCAATATGTTCCAGTGTTTACGTAGGATGTTTGCAATATTTTGTGTTTGTGTTGTATGGAATGGAGAAAATTGGGCGGCTTGTGTTTTTTTGGCTTTGTTTCCTATTGAGTAGGTCTGTTTGGGTGTATTGTAGGGCTTTGTTGAAGTTGGTGGTGATGGTGTCGTGGTCATATCCGCGATGGATCAGTGCAATCAGGAGGTGGTTTAGTCGTTGTTGTAATTTGTTGTTGTCTGTAATTATGCGTCTGTATCGTAGAGCCTGACTGTAGATGACTGCGTTCTTGCATGTGGTGGGGTGGAATGAGCTTTTGTGTAGTAGAAGGGTTTTGTCAGTTGGTTTAATGTACAGGTCTGATTCCAGTTTGTTGTTTTTGTTTTTGTAGATAGTTGTGTCAAGGAAGTTGACAGATTTCTCAGAGAAGGAAAAGTCAAATTTGATGGTAGGATGAAAATTGTTTATGTATTTAAGGAATTTTTCCAGTTTGTCAGTGCCATGTGTCCAAATTGCAAATATGTCATCTATAAATCTTATCCATTCAATAGGTATAAGATTTTCAGGAGCTTGTTGGAGGAGCTCCTGTTCAAGTGCTGCCATGAATATGTTTGCATAGGTAGGTGCCATTGGTGATCCCATAGCAGTGCCATGAATTTGTAGGAAGTGTTCGTTGTTAAAAGCAAAGGCGTTCTTCTTAAGTACAAGGGATAGGATGTCATGAACTAGTTTTTCCATTTCAGGGGTAATTGTGTTGATTTCTTTCAACATGTCTATACAGGCTTGGATGCCTTGATCATTAGGTATGTTGGTATAGAGACTTCTTACGTCAATAGTAATAAGTATGAACTTGTCTGGTAGTGTGTTATTCTGAGCAAATATCCGGCATAGAAAGTCTGTAGTGTCCTGGACATATGATGGTATGTGTTGTAGGAGTGGTTTGAGTAGATGGTCAGCATATTGAGAAAGCTTGACTGTTGGTCCACCACAACCGGAGATAATAGGTCGACCTGGAATGTTAGTTTTGTGTATTTTGGGTAAAAGGTATAGTTGTGGTGTCCTGGCTTGATTGTCAATTGTGAGATATTTAAATGTTGTGTTGTCAATGGCCTTAGATTTGTGGAGTTTGTGTGCTAGGGTTTTGGTTTCAGTTAGAATTTCAGGGGTCGGGTCATGTGTTAGTTTCTGGTAGTGTTTCTCATTATAAAGTTGTCTATATGCCTCAGTAAGATAATCTTCCATTGGCCATATCACAATGGCTCCTCCTTTGTCTGCTGGTTTGATTATTATATCATCATCCTTTTTAGATCATGGATGGTTTTAAGGCTTTGTGGATAAGTTGGTTTTTGTAGTTTTTTTGTGTTCCAAATTCAATTTTGAGATCGTAGAGTACATTTGATATGTATTCTAACAGGTTGCTGTTGTCGGGGTTTGGTGCTGTGAAGTTACTGGGTAGTTTAAATGGATGTTTTTTAGTGTCCTTTCTGTTTCTGAAGAAATATTTATTGTACATGCTTTTTTTATATTTCAGAAAAGAGGCATATATGGTCTTGTATGGTGTGTGTTTGGGTGTCGGGACAAAGGTAAGGCCTTTCGACAGGGTTTTTGTGCTTCCTGTGAGATGGGTTTGTTAGAGAGGTTAACAATAGTATTGTGTTGGGAGTTATATTTGAGTTTTTTATGTAGTTTATTTTTGCTTTTGTGTCTGTTGTTATTTGTGTTCCGTTGTGTTTTCAAATATTTTAGGATGTTTCGTTTGTTGTAATTGTTTGTATCTGTGTTGAGTTTTATCTGTTTTTTTGTTATTTGTGGTGTGTGGGTTTGTTGCGTCTTAGAAAATCCAGGATTTGTTGTTGTGTGTTGTAGTTCAAGTGAGATGGAATGTTTATGTGGGGTGCTGATTGTTGTTCATTGTTGTTTCGTTGATGGGTTCGGTGTCTGTTGTTATTAGGTTGTCGATAGTGGGTTGGTATTCGAAGTTGTGGTGTTCTTGTTACTGTTGTTGTGCTAGTACTAGTTGTTCCGGGTTTGTGGTGGTGTGGGGTGTGGGTTTGCATAAGGGGTTTTGGTTTGTGTCTGTTGGTCGGTGTGTGTGTGGGTTTGTTGGTTGGTTGGCTGGTTGTTCTGTATGGTGTCCTATGGGGTGAGGAGGTTGTTGGAGTGATTCTGGTATTTGTGTTGTTAAGTCGTTTTAGTTTTATGTTGCGATTGTGGGATGGTGCTAGGCAGGCTTGTTTTGTGTATTTGGTTGCAATGGCGTCTGTTTGTTGTAGTATGTTGTTGGCAGTCATTGTGTCACATTTGTTGTTGATTTGTGCAGATTTGTGTTGTATTTTGAACTCTGTGTTTGTTATTTCCTGTTTGTGATAGTCAATGGTTACAGTCAGTAGTTCTTGTGAGGCATTCATTAAGATGTCCTCCCATCTTTGTCGTAGGTCTTTGTTCAGGTAGTGTTTGCTTTTGTGTGTGATTTCTAGTCCAGGGGGTAGTGTCTGTGCTTTTTTGTGTTCTTCCAGTTCGTCAAGTGTGCATTTGAGTTTGGATAACTTGGTTTTCTGTGTGCTAATAATGCGGAATGTTTCCAGGAGGTGTGGTGGTATGCTGTTGGGGTTGGGAATGGATTGTGGTTGGTCATTGTGTGGTGTGGTGTTGGTTGCGATTTCGGGGTTAGTTGTGATTTGGGTGTGTTGTTTGTCTCTGGGTTTTCGTCTTCTGTGTTTAAAAGTTTTTGTTTTTCCTTATGTAGGCCTTCTATTATTGAATCAGTTTCCTGATCGGATATGATCAATTTGTGGCCAAAAATAAGGGAGGTGTCCAAGTCTGTTATGTCTCCGTCGTCAGTCTGTAAAAATTCGTTTATTTGTTCCTCGGACATGTCCGGTGAGGGTGGGGGGTTGGGTTGGATTGGGCATGGGTTAGTGTCAAGGGTGGGGATTGCGTTGTCAGGGTTATCAATCAACATATTCTGGGGGTCGGTTAGGTTTTTGGTAGGGTTTTCGGTCGGGTTGCTTCGATTTTTGGAGTTGAATGGGACTTCTTAAAAATTAAGGTTATCCTTTGTGAGTAATAGTTCCATTGAGTAGTGATCGTTGTGTTTGTTAGTAAGTGTGTTAGGGGTGTGTGAATAAACAAGGGGGACTGAAACACAACGATCACTACTCAATGGAACTATTACTCACAAAGGATAACCTTAATTTTTAAGAAGTCCCATTCAACTCCAAAAATCGAAGCAACCCGACCGAAAACCCTACCAAAAACCTAACCGACCCCCAGAATATGTTGATTGATAACCCTGACAACGCAATCCCCACCCTTGACACTAACCCATGCCCAATCCAACCCAACCCCCCACCCTCACCGGACATGTCCGAGGAACAAATAAACGAATTTTTACAGACTGACGACGGAGACATAACAGACTTGGACACCTCCCTTATTTTTGGCCACAAATTGATCATATCCGATCAGGAAACTGATTCAATAATAGAAGGCCTACATAAGGAAAAACAAAAACTTTTAAACACAGAAGACGAAAACCCAGAGACAAACAACACACCCCAAATCACAACTAACCCCGAAATCGCAACCAACACCACACCACACAATGACCAACCACAATCCATTCCCAACCCCAACAGCATACCACCACACCTCCTGGAAACATTCCGCATTATTAGCACACAGAAAACCAAGTTATCCAAACTCAAATGCACACTTGACGAACTGGAAGAACACAAAAAAGCACAGACACTACCCCCTGGACTAGAAATCACACACAAAAGCAAACACTACCTGAACAAAGACCTACGACAAAGATGGGAGGACATCTTAATGAATGCCTCACAAGAACTACTGACTGTAACCATTGACTATCACAAACAGGAAATAACAAACACAGAGTTCAAAATACAACACAAATCTGCACAAATCAACAACAAATGTGACACAATGACTGCCAACAACATACTACAACAAACAGACGCCATTGCAACCAAATACACAAAACAAGCCTGCCTAGCACCATCCCACAATCGCAACATAAAACTAAAACGACTTAACAACACAAATACCAGAATCACTCCAACAACCTCCTCACCCCATAGGACACCATACAGAACAACCAGCCAACCAACCAACAAACCCACACACACACCGACCAACAGACACAAACCAAAACCCCTTATGCAAACCCACACCCCACACCACCACAAACCCGGAACAACTAGTACTAGCACAACAACAGTAACAAGAACACCACAACTTCGAATACCAACCCACTATCGACAACCTAATAACAACAGACACCGAACCCATCAACGAAACAATGAACAACAATCAGCACCCCACATAAACATTCCATCTCACTTGAACTACAACACACAACAACAAATCCTGGATTTTCTAAGACGCAACAAACCCACACACCACAAATAACAAAAAAACAGATAAAACTCAACACAGATACAAACAATTACAACAAACGAAACATCCTAAAATATTTGAAAACACAACGGAACACAAATAACAACAGACACAAAAGCAAAAATAAACTACATAAAAAACTCAAATATAACTCCCAACACAATACTATTGTTAACCTCTCTAACAAACCCATCTCACAGGAAGCACAAAAAACCCTGTCGAAAGGCCTTACCTTTGTCCCGACACCCAAACACACACCATACAAGACCATATATGCCTCTTTTCTGAAATATAAAAAAAGCATGTACAATAAATATTTCTTCAGAAACAGAAAGGACACTAAAAAACATCCATTTAAACTACCCAGTAACTTCACAGCACCAAACCCCGACAACAGCAACCTGTTAGAATACATATCAAATGTACTCTACGATCTCAAAATTGAATTTGGAACACAAAAACAAACTACAAAAACCAACTTATCCTCACAAAGCCTTAAAACCATCCATGATCTAAAAAAGGATGATGATATAATAATCAAACCAGCAGACAAAGGAGGAGCCATTGTGATATGGCCAATGGAAGATTATCTTACTGAGGCATATAGACAACTTTATAATGAGAAACACTACCAGAAACTAACACATGACCCGACCCCTGAAATTCTAACTGAAACCAAAACCCTAGCACACAAACTCCACAAATCTAAGGCCATTGACAACACAACATTTAAATATCTCACAATTGACAATCAAGCCAGGACACCACAACTATACCTTTTACCCAAAATACACAAAACTAACATTCCAGGTCGACCTATTATCTCCGGTTGTGGTGGACCAACAGTCAAGCTTTCTCAATATGCTGACCATCTACTCAAACCACTCCTACAACACATACCATCATATGTCCAGGACACTACAGACTTTCTATGCCGGATATTTGCTCAGAATAACACACTACCAGACAAGTTCATACTTATTACTATTGACGTAAGAAGTCTCTATACCAACATACCTAATGATCAAGGCATCCAAGCCTGTATAGACATGTTGAAAGAAATCAACACAATTACCCCTGAAATGGAAAAACTAGTTCATGACATCCTATCCCTTGTACTTAAGAAGAACGCCTTTGCTTTTAACAACGAACACTTCCTACAAATTCATGGCACTGCTATGGGATCACCAATGGCACCTACCTATGCAAACATATTCATGGCAGCACTTGAACAGGAGCTCCTCCAACAAGCTCCTGAAAATCTTATACCTATTGAATGGATAAGATTTATAGATGACATATTTGCAATTTGGACACATGGCACTGACAAACTGGAAAAATTCCTTAAATACATAAACAATTTTCATCCTACCATCAAATTTGACTTTTCCTTCTCTGAGAAATCTGTCAACTTCCTTGACACAACTATCTACAAAAACAAAAACAACAAACTGGAATCAGACCTGTACATTAAACCAACTGACAAAACCCTTCTACTACACAAAAGCTCATTCCACCCCACCACATGCAAGAACGCAGTCATCTACAGTCAGGCTCTACGATACAGACGCATAATTACAGACAACAACAAATTACAACAACGACTAAACCACCTCCTGATTGCACTGATCCATCGCGGATATGACCACGACACCATCACCACCAACTTCAACAAAGCCCTACAATACACCCAAACAGACCTACTCAATAGGAAACAAAGCCAAAAAAACACAAGCCGCCCAATTTTCTCCATTCCATACAACACAAACACAAAATATATTGCAAACATCCTACGTAAACACTGGAACATATTGGAGAATGACCCCACACTGAGGAGTCTATGGCAAGAACCTCCAATTGTAGCCTACCAACGTAATACTAACCTGAGAGACACACTTATCACAGCAAAACTTAATACCAGACACAACGCTAACCAAACATAATAACATCCCATAACCCAAATCCCCCAGGCCTTCCATCAACCCCAAACCTAACCAAAACCAGCCAAAAACCTCCACACCATCCTAAACACAGATACAAAAAAATTTTGACCACTCCCAATTGACATTGAGTCTGAATACCACCTTGAAAACACCAGAGTGGATATAACAAACCAAAGAACTTCCTGGGACACACTGGGTTACAAGTGAGAACATGCAAGAACCAATTAACACATGACAAGCAAACCCTGTGGCACTCTCCTGTGAAAACAACAAAACTACATGACTTAACCAGTCACATCAAATCTGGCATCCTGGGCATCCTGCGGACATAAGTATAGAATTATTTTTTTAAAAAAATACTTGTCCTTAGCAGAATTAAGCCATAAATATGACCAGATGCCCGAACAAAACCTAAATGTTCAACCACACGGATTAAATACACTTCAAATCAAACCACATGAACATGGTCATGGATAATGTAGTCACGTTGAACAATCCTTATGTAATATAATGTACAATCCGCTATCCATATGCTGTATATATATATATATAGTTATAGTAATTCAAACGCATGACAACGTCCACGTTGACTTCTAATTACCGATGATAATTTAAACACCTACTAAATAATGATACCTATATACCTACAACCTTACACTCACAATTATATGCACGTTTTACAAGCTTATCATAAAACTTCAAAATACAAACCTTAAAAACCTTGACTACCTCAAATTGATAACCCTATTATATTCACGATTGAAACCCTCACGGTTGATGCATCGCCGAACATCGACCCACGGAAGTTTTTAGAACCCGGGGTAGTTTACTACCCACAGATGACGATATTGCACTGTAATTCTGTAATTCCTCGCCAAAAATCCAAAACATTTCAACCCAATTTTTATTTCATGACTACGGTGATAAAACGGAACTTCAACAATTATAACCAACCATACTACATGAAGTACAACTTACAACCAAAACACATTTAAACCTCGGATGTCCACACACAACCATAATTGACACGTAAACCCCCACTATCCCCAACACAGACTTTGACACCTGACCTCAGTGACGTAACATATTAACGCATTTTATGCACACACGTGCAATCCTTGACCCCTTTTCGATCAAGTCTCTTGAACGGATACAAGCTCGAACACTAGCTCTGCTGTCAAGCAATTCAAAACAATTTTTAAGTAAAATTACACTCGACTTCACATCAACCCTGAGATGGCTCACCGCGTTGGTTTATCTAAAGTCAACAACAACTTTGGTAAGACACACAGTTTAATTTTACCATTTTGCCTTTTACGAATACACTCTCACGCAGGTTTGATAACTTTAACCTTGATTCTTTATGATTCTCCTACAAACACACACCACTTTTACTCACTTCTTATCTTCATTGTTCCTTCACACAAAGCCAACCCTGCTCCCCGCTGACGAGTCCGCAAAAGGATGAAACGCCGCGTACGGGGATACTGATTCGCACGCTTGCCTTCTTGTCTTCTGTTTTACTTTTCTACCTACCTCCTTACATAACCTTGACTTAAACACCACCAATAACGCTACACAACCTATCACTACAAACGCAACTACATAGTTTCTTGAAGAACTCCATCATAAACAAACAAAACCCCCTTTTTTAAAAAAAATTTTATTTCAAACACACCACATGGTTGGCGGTTGTCCAACAAATTCCAAACTACCCCATCTGGTTATTTTTATTTCTATTTCTACGCCCCTCAATTCGCAATTAACCATTCAACAAATTACTCATTATGTTCCCCTTTAGCCCACATACACATAACGTCCTTTTTTTCTCTAGTTTGTCTAATTCAGACAATTGTTACAAATTAACTTATAACTATATAAGAACTACAATATGGTTCCAATTACCTATGTCAAAATATAAAATAAACATGGTGGAGTGACACATGACTTGGGATAATTCTGTGGTTACTGAATTATGCTCTATTTTATATGGGAAGTGGCATGAAGTGTATTTTGACAATTTTTTCACTGGCCAGAAATTTTGCAAACTTTGTTTTGTAATAAAACATTAGCATGTGGAACTTTGAAAGCAAATAGAAAAGGGTTTCCAAAAGAAATGTATGACAAGAAGAACAATAAATTGAAAAGGGGAGACTTCTTATCCTATGAAGGGTCCTATCACTGCTGTGACATGGATGGACAATAAGGTAGTTAATTGTGTCACCACTTTGGAATTTGTTTCTGGACATGAAACAACCCATAAAGAGAAGAAGGAAAGATGGCAAGAAGGAAGATGTGGGTTCTCCACTAATGATTGCCAGTTACAACCAACATATTGAAGGTGTGGATAAAAATGACCTAATGAATTCATACTATGGTATTAGATGGAGATCAAGAAAGTGGTGGCACAGAGTTATGTTACAAATGGAATCACCAAATCACCAAAGATGTTTGAAGGACTTCCGTATGGAGCTTGCGAAGAACCTTACTGGTTATTTCTCATGAAAAAAGCATCCAGGTAGACCATCCCTCGAAATGCTAGCAAGGTTAAGTGAGAGACATTTCCCTAGTCGCCTTCTCATAAATGAAAAGGGAAAAGTAAAAGAAAAAGATGCAGGGATGCTCAACAAAGGAGAAAGCAAGGAAAACCACCTACTGGTGTGAGGAATTGTGTGTGGAATTGGGCTATGTGCTGCGTTTTGCTTTGCTATTTACCACACCAAGCCATGAATGAAAGAAACATTTTAGTATATGGGCACATTTCACTATCTTAGTTGTAAATAGAGGTAAATATTAGCTCAGGTACATGTAAAGTCATAACCTCAATATTGCAACATTTTTTGCATAACATCCACTGAAGATTTCTGCTGAATCAGAAATGTTGTAGGCATGTCTTCTATATCAAAAGAAACCTGAACAAGAATTGTAGATTTCAAAAACGAAACAAAAAAATTTTAACTGTTGAATATTGTGGAAGTTATGTACATTTACTCTTTATATCATGTGCAACAATATCTGTTGTCAATGAAATGGGTGTGGCCAGTTGCTATGGCAACCTATATTTTTGCAAACAAGTTTCATATTTGAAATCTATAGACTTTGAGGAGCGTCTTGATATATTATATGTTGTATATATGTTAAATTGTATTAAATATGAATTATTAATTTCTGATTATTAAAAAATAGAAAAAAAACTGAAAATAAATCGCTGCTGCAAAGGGTTAATAGTACTTACACTAGTGTAAAGCATTTGGGCCATTTGAGGAATTGTGAATTTGTACTCAAGTATTAATTCCAACTGTTCCTTAGTTATATTAAAGCTGGGTCTTCTTCAATTTTCTGAAAATATTTTTTGAGAAAAGTAGCCATAATAAACATCTTTGCTAAGTTCTTCCTCCAGAATTACCAGCAAGGCGTTTGGCAATGCATACAGAATTAGACCTCTATTACTATAAAATAGTATACCCTATCAGCTTGATATTGCAACGAGTCAAAGTCATCCTGAGAAACATTATGGGAATCTAGTCTTCTCTGTGCATTTTGGAGTATAGATACCATGTGTTGAATAAGTGTTGTTGAAGGATGATTTAAATAGAAATATTTTGATTTTTTACTTAATAAAAGGTAGACACTAATAAGAATGATGATTAACAAAACAACCATAAAGATGCCAACAATTTCTGCATAATAATTATTCATTGACGTTTTTAAATAATGGGTAATGTCCTTAGGTCATATAATTTGTATCAAGTGTGAGCGCCACAGTGTCACTGCAGTGGCATAGCTGCCAGCCTGACAATTTAGTCCTGCCATCCAAATTTCATAATTTATAGCTATATTTTATAGTTCACATAATTTTAATACTAATTTATTAATTTTAATATTAATTTATTTAGAAATCTATTGTTTTTATAGTTAATCAACACCAAAGTATTAGCATAGCACAGGTGGTGTGTGCTCTGGGACCCAGGCCTCCGATTTCAATGTTTATATTGTGCGGTCAAGGCAATTGCAAAATACATGCCGAAAAAAGGATCCGAAAGATATCAAATTTTCGAAGTGTTTAAACTAACCTCATTACAGGCTAAATTCAACTGATGTTTACTTATAACAAAGCCAGTACGAGTATACGAGGTATTTCGCTCACAAACAACGACAACGAGAGTTAATTCCCAAAGATTCACACATGCTACCGTGTGGAATATGGTGGAAGGCATCCCTCAGGTAAATTTCTTGTGCTATTTTTATGTGTATTAATATTAAATGGTTTAATCATGTTTGTTTGTTCTAAAGACGATAAGTTTATCTGTATAAATATTCAAAGGCACTCCACTGCACTCCACTAATTCTATTTGAAAAACTGATATGAATATGTGTGATTTTTCAGAAATTGCACAATTAGTTGATATAATTTGGTTCATCATAGCATGTCCTATAAACAAAACAATAATTATGCGAATTGCCTGTTCACATTTTGATGTATTTCATAAATAATACATAGAACTTCATGTTTTGGATTTTAGGTGGCCCTCACAGTGGAAAAATAAACTGATCAATGTATAAACACTGGTGCCAGTATGGAGGGTGAAACTGGCTCTATTGTTAAGAGGGCTCATATATCAAAAGGAGATACTCCAGGAAAATCCAAATCTAAATATGTTAAAGATGAATCTGGGAATAAACCTCTGCCTCTAAGAAGAAGATCTTTATTCAAGAACGAAGATGTATTGCCAACAGAGATACTAGGTAGCTCATTCTGTCAAAGCAGCGAACTAGAAAAAAGGAGAATTGGAAGCAACTGTACAATATATCGCTTTATACAAACCAAGTTTTGACGATGACCATTGGCCAGCAATTAGAGATGGTGCATTCTGGGAACAATGTGCAAAAGCTGTGCATCAGTACTCTGGCCAACCGTTGCGGACAGGTACTGTACCTTGTATATTGTTAGAGTACATTGAAGCCTTGTTATAATATGGTCACCAACAGGCCAAACACGGCGGTTGGCCATATTAGCACAGTGACTATATTAATAAGGTACATTTATTGGGAGAGGTACTGCATATACTAAATACTGCGAATAATTAGATTTTAATCTTGTGCATTTGTGAGTGATTCATTGAAGGAGTATACTGATATCCTTTTTGTAAAATCTTTAAGATGTCAGCATCACAAAACCCATCATATATCACAACTGAGAGGTATATTCATTAAACAAATATCCTGCTTTCAAACAAATAGATGAACAAAAAATTTTTACTATCACAATCTCCAGTAATCTCTCATTGTGAAGGTGGACATGTATACAAGGTTGAAATACATCAAGAGATATTTTTGGCCATAATTTTCCAAATGTTATTAATATCTTTTAAGGGGCAGCTATCCGAACGAAAACACTCAAGTACTTGGCAAAAGGATTTTCAACTGTAACTGATGCAGAGAACTTTTATGACATTGATTATTTTCATTCAAAGTCACTTTTAACAGAATGTTCAACCCAAAATGATGGTTGGGAAAATGTAAATAAATCACAAGGTGATATCATTCAAGAACTTATCTCGGCCTTTAAATGCAAACTTACAGAGAGAATGCAAGAGCAGATGATAAATCAGCTTATACAAATATGGATTACTCAGCATTATGGAACTGACTTTTACAATTACATGAGCAAAGATTTCTTACCTTTAGCTGTTAAAGGGATGAATATGTTGAAACAAAACAATAAGAAAAACTTGTTTCTTGCTATGAGTAAATGCTTTGGTGAGGAAGTTAATGGCAAATCCAGGATGAACGTTAATCAAATGCCTTTTGGGCATATATCATATAATCTACAGTTTTTCGCTTCTGATCATACAGCAAATATTAAAATAAAGAATGATTACTTGGAGTGGCAAAC